ACTTAAAGCGCTTGCTCCTTTTAGGGTGACAAGCTTCATGCAATTTTTCAAAGGTGCTTTTGGTGTGATTGCCGTGCAATCCTGCCGAACAACAATCGTAGAAGAATTGCAGTGCCTTTGGGGTGCCATTTAGGAATAATGGCACCCAAATGCATGTCACGCATTGTTCAGCTATCACCATGCGATTCCAAATTGTGAAGTGCGAATGGAGCCTGAAGAGAAATGGGAACGTCAGTTGTATGTAAGGCATAGACAGGCATAGAAAAGTAACAGAAAAATGTTCAAGTGTGAATAGAGGCTTATACTGAATTCTTATGGGGCCGTTTCTAAAAAAAAATTGAGAAGAACAGAAGCCAAAATGCCACAGCATAATCACCTGTCAGATTACATTTTTTTTTTCTAGAGCAAAAGATGATTGGTCACTTTCAACAGCGGTTCCACTTGTGTTCCCATTTTCTTTGTTGCAGTTACAGATGCAAGAAAAAGTATGTGAACCCCTTGGGATTACGTGGAGTTTTGCATGAATTGGGTATAAAATGTACTCTGAACGTCATCTAAGTCACAATAATAGAAGAACACAGTCCTCTGAACATAATACTACAGAAACATTAGATGTTGCCATGGTTTAATTGCACATAACATGTAAACATTCACAGTGCAGGGAGGAAAACGTATGTGAGGCCCTAGCTTTATGACTTCTCCCAGAGCTAATTGGAGCCAGGAGTGAGCCAACCTTGACTCCAATCAGTGTGATGATATTGGATGTGTTGCTGACAGCTGTCCTGCCCTTAAAAAAACACACGCCTGTTTTGGGTTTACTGGTTTCAAGAAGCACTGTCTGATGTGAACCATGCCTCGCAGAAAAGAGCTCTCAGAAGACCTACGATCAAGAATTGTTGACTTGCATAAAGCTGGAAAGGGTTACAAAAGTATCTCCAAAAGCCTTGATGTTCATGTGTCCACGGTAAGACAGACTGTCTACAAATGGAGAAAGTTTAGCACCGTTGCTACTCTCCCAAGGCGCGGTCGTCCTGTTAAATTGACTGCAAGAGCACAGCGCAGAATGCTGCATGAGGTAAAGAAGAATCCCAGAGTGTCAGCTAAAGACCTACAGAAATCTCTGGCACATGCTAACATTTTTGTTGACACATCTACAATAAGGAAAACATTAAACAAGAATGGAGTACATGGGAGGACACCACGGAGGAAGCCATTGCTGTCCAAAAAGAATATTGCAGCACGTTTGAAGTTTGCAAAAGAGCACCTGGATGTTCCACAGCACTACTGGCAAAATATACTGTGGACAGATGAAACCAAGATTGAGTTGTTTGGGAAGAACACACAACACTATGTGTGGAGGAAAAAAGGCACAGCACACTAACATCAAAACCTCATCCCCATTGTAAAACATGGCGGAGGGAGCATCATGGTTTGGGGCTGCTTTGCTGCCTCAGGGCCTAAACGGATTGTTGTCATTGATGGGAAAATGAATTCCAGTGTTTATCAAGACATTTTGCAGGAAAACGTACGACCATCTGTCCGCCAACTGAAGCTCCGCAGAGGATGGGTGATGCAACAGGACAATGACCCAAAGCATACAAGTAATTCAACAAAACAATGGCTGCAACAGCACAGAATACGCCTTCTGGAGTGGCCCAGTCCTGACCTCAACTCGATTGAAATGCTGTGGCATGACCTTAAGAGAGCGATTCACACCAGATATCCCAAGAATATTGCTACACTGAAACAGTTTAGTGAAGAGTAGTGGTCCAAAATTACTCCAGATCATTGTGCAGGTCTGATCTGCAACTACAGGAAACGTTTGGTTGAGGTTATTGCTGCCAAAGGAGGGTCAACCAGTTATTAAGTCCAAAGGTTCACATACTTTTTCCTCCCTGCACTGTGAATGTTTACATGTTATGTGCAATTAAACCATGGCAACATCTAATGTTTGTGTAGTATTATGTTCAGCAGACTGTGTTCTTCTATTGTTGTGACTTAGATGACGTTCAGAGCACATTTTATGCCCAATTCATGCAAAACTCCACGTAATCCCAAGGGGTTCACATACTTTTTCTTGCAACTGTAAACAGACTCCTTTCAATAAAAGTAATAGATAGAAAAAACATTTGTTGTATTGAGTATATACTGATAAATAATTCTACTGGTGGAGTCAGAAACTTAAAGAAATTCCATTATATTCTATATATTTGTAGGAGAATCATTCCATTCATTCATATCCTCTGATGGTACTTTTCAGTAAATATAATTCAGAGTAAATGTCAACTGCTGAGTAAAAGCAATTCAAGGTAAAAAAAAATCTTAAAAAAAATTCTTGTGTCTGCGGGGAATTGAAAATATGTCCGAAAACATTCGAATTTCAAGATGAATAATTTATTTACATAACACATTCCTCCGCAGAAAACATTTCAATGTTAGCTGTATGGTAATTTAATATATAAGGCAGCTCTATTTTATTAAATGCATCAAGAGTCCCAGATTTTGAATTTCTTCACTTTTCAGAATTTCTAGTGACGTCTGTTGCGCCCTGCATTTATGATCCAACGAACATTCACCACCAGAAGTAAAATATTTTCAATGGACACAGAGTATAGACAGAATAGTGTAATACCTAAACCACCATTTCATTTTAAAAGTATTAAGTTAATGCATTTGCATGCATCTAAAACCTGGAGCAGACACAAATAGAACCTTCAATTTATGGAGCTCACCTCTGATACACATTGGTTACAAGGAATAGAGACTGTCTCATACCAACTTTTCATTTATACCTTTATTATGGCAGGTGTTTATCCATCATTTACTGCATTGAACATTGCCTTTGGCTTGATTTGTGAGTTTATTTCTACTCAACAACTGAAAGTTTTTTGTAAACCCTGGTAAGAGTCATAGATGTGCCTTGGAGGCATTTCTTTTATTTCTACATAAGCAAAGTCTGTTATAGTTCTGTATAAACAGATTTTTGGCAGACAATAAGATTTTGATACGGAAGACCAAAAGCCTCCCATAGACATGGCAGAGAGTTGTCAGAGGAGCAGGAACAGTCCAGTTTCCTTCAGGCAAAATAGTTAGGCACTGTTAACATGATTGCTTAGTTTAGCATCCTGCAGGTCATTTTAATGCAGCTTTATCTCAGGGGAAGACATAGAGATTGCAAAGGTTTTCTAATCCAGTCTGTTCTGTTTCAAATGCCGCTTTTTGCATTGACATACCTTCATAGACCCAGTCTGTCTGGACAGTATGTTCACCTGCTGACTTTGTTCACGGGCATCTTAAGGTCTCATACACACAGGGTGTTAAAAATGCAGCTTTTAGAGGCATTTTGCATTTTTTTCTGCCTCTAAACACCCCTTTTTGTTATCCCATATGTCCTTGCAAGCATAGGCATTTACCAGTATTTGAAGGCAGGGGCATTTAGAGGCAGAAAAAAAAACAGGGCCACCACACCCAGGAGAGAAGCATTTTGCCGCAAAGAAAACATTCAACATGCCTAAATACGAGTCAACACATCTATATGCACTTTAGGGGCGATTAACACATGGGAGTTCATTCATTGCAATGGCCAGAATAAATTAATATTCTGGCCAGTGAAATACATTAATGCCCAAGAATTTATGCGCCTAAATACGGTACATTTGCAAAATGTGGCTTTTGGCTCTTTTTTAACACTGCCTTTTCCTCCCCTGGAGCATAGGTTTGTTGTCTTGTCTTGTGTGCATGGGGCCTTCTTTTCAGTAAGACACAGAAGTTGAATGCAACACAATTGTATGCCTACTAATTTTAGTACAGATTATGTCTTTCCATCTTTTGACAATGATTTTCCTAGGCCCAGTGTCTGCAAATTACTAACACTGAATGATGGAACATGGAAGAAAGAGAGAGGGTCTAGCTAGAAATGAGCTAACTAAAACTAAACAGCAGTGGAGAACAGAAGGAGATACCAAATCACATAGGTAAACAAGTTGTAGGGGGTTCTAAATGTGGGACAGAACACAGTCAGTAGCTGAGATTTATCAACCATAGTCATGACAGCAACTACTTATGAGCATTAAAGGCCAAAATCAGGTAATGTTCATCTTATGTCTCATGAATCTAAGGCCAGCTATGGAAATAGTATGACTGCAACTCAATTGGGTCAGTAATGGTTGGATTTGGAAACAGTCTAACATAGTTGCCAACATTTCAAAAAAGTTTTTAGGGATACCTTTTTTTTCTGTGCGTCCATGAAGCTGCATGTACTTTAATTAGGGGAGGGCGTTCATTTAATATGGGCGTGGTTCCACAAAATGGTTAATCATGTCCAGCCTCAAGGGATCTGCTAGCAATAAAAGGGTTAATCATGTCTCTAGCCACCAGAGATCTTAGGCTAGTATGAGCGCTGGTGGCTAGAGACATGATTAACCCTTCTATTGCTAGCAGATCCTTGCTGGCTTTACATTCTTAGCAACTATGCAGGCTACTAAGATCCCTGTGGCTAGAGACATGAGCTAGCAGAGATTGACCTTGCTGCTCATACAGACGTACTGTTCTGGTATGGTCAGGACAGTTGGCAACTATGCAAACACCTCTGTGTTATTATACTCTTTCACTCATCCCTGCTCGCCCCCCTGCACACCTCTGCCACCACTCTAGCCACCTCACACCCCTCTGTACCTTGAGCACAACTCTGCTACAACTGCACACCTCTGACCTCATTATTCCTCTCTTCTGCACCCACCTGCCCACTACCCCCCCCCACCCCTGACATACCTCTGTTGCAACTGCACTCCTGCTGTGTACATCTGCTACCAATGTGCACCCCCAGAAACCTCTATACCCCAGAACATACCACTGCCCTCCCCACACAATTACTTCTGCACACTGTACCTCCCTCTCCAAAACTCCACTCCCCCTCAATTTTTGCCACCTCTGTTCCACATGCCACCACTGCATTTCCTCCCTCTACCTCTGCTATCATTGTGCCCCTGCATACCTCTGTACCAGGGGCGGACTGACCATTTGGAAACTCGGGCACTGCCCGAGGCGGCCTGGGGTCAGAAGGGGGCCCAATGAGATGCCACTGGTACCTTTTTCATAGGCTTTTTTCAGTTTGGGCAAGAACACAGGGGCCCCATGATCCCCTATTGCCCGGGGGCCCCATGAGTTGTCAGTCCGCCCCTGCTCTGTACCCTCCTAATATAACTCTGTCATCGCTATGCTCCACAGCATACTCCTGTACCCCTCCCCCCACATCTCAGTGACTAACGCTTCTCACATCCAGCATAGTATTAGTAGGACATCAATGTCACTTAGGGCTCATGTACACTGCAGCTGATAAACTGACATTCAGGAGCTTTTCTGCATTTTTTTCAGCAGCCCCTGAACTCTCCCTAATGTTTTCCTATGTGTCCATGTACACATCATCGTTTACAGGCAGTTGAGTTAACATTTGTTTTTTTGAACGCACCAAACTTGCGTTCAGGTGCAGATTTTATCAGCGTTTCAAATCCCAAAGGCTTGTAAACGTGGCTAACCGAGTTTATAAGCGTTTGTGTTTAGAAGCATTTTTTAACTGTTCCATATCCAGATGCTGTCCAGAGCCTTTTTTCATCATCAGAAATGCATGCAAAGTGTTTTCCATGTATTCAAATGGACCCGGTACACCAGCACAGTCAGTTCCAGGTTTTGTGTGAAGGAAAAAATGGTAGAACGTGCTGCATTATGCTCATGATGGGATCCATAGTGAATACAACCAGAAAAGACAGGTCATCTCAACACATACTGCTCTCTCTACTTCTGCTCTCTCTATTTCTCTCAAAATGTCTGAAATAGTTAATTTTTTACTGTTTTTCCTGATGTTATCTTTAAAACACGCTTCTAAATGCAAACGCACATAAACACGGTACGCAAACGCGGCTAAACAGAAGTTTTTAATCTATATTTTCCAGCAGTCAGTTTCCATTGTTCAGAAGTGTTTTCCAAACGTCCCGTGTACATGGAGCCTTATACTGCCACAATTACTGCAGGACTTACAGTGCTGAGATCATTCTGCAGCTGCAGCGCCTTCCTATGGTGTAAACAGCATCAGACAATACAGAGCATGCTGTGCTGCCAATGAGGGGGTGGGGCCAGGGTGTGACTTTGTGACAGCTTCCTGCAAGGATTGGAGTCAGACCCAATCACAGCCTCTGCTGTCAGATGAAAGGGATCCCTTTACAATGCCATGCCTCAGCGTCCAGTCACCATGGTGACGAAAATAAACAGGTAGGAACAGGGGCTGACTGACAACTCATGGGGTCCCCAGGCAATAGGGGATCATGGGGCCCCTGTGTCCTTGCCCACACTCAAAGAACACCCAAAAAAGCCTATAAAAAGGTACCAGGGACATTTCATGGGGCCCCTTCCTGACACCGGGCCCTCGTGCACTGCCCGAGTGCTCGAATGGTCAGTCCACCCCTGGGTAGGAAAGAGGCATGTAAATGGCAGAAATCGGGACACAGCCCGAAACACAGAAGATGTGGGACAAAGGACCAATATGCGGGACGTCCCGAGAGAGTCTGTGACTGTTGGGAAGTATGGTCTAAGTATACCTTGCAGCCCCTTCAGATATGCCTTGGCTTAATAATTTTAGAAATAACTGTTTATGAATAGATTTTATTTACAGGAAGAATTGATTTGTATGTACTTTGGATTATTTTCCTTACACATTGAACTGTTCATGTTCACCACAAAATCTTTGCCAGGTGTGGCAGTGCGGTATCCTGCCACGGTGGAAATCACGATGGAGACCCAGGATTCTCAACCATACAGGTTGAGGGGCTCCAGGCAGATCTCATAATGCAGAGGAAACTGGTTTATCAGTTTCCTCTTTGGTTTGTAAAGCCTGTTTTGGGACCTGTAGCCTGGAGATTTCTAAGAGATTTGGGAGGGATGAAATCTCCAATCCTGGGCCCATATTTTGAGAGCAGCCAGCGCGATGATTGCACAGGTGTGTGCAGGCCTTTTTGTGGGGGCCAGGTCATGATTCTGAGCTCCACCCCGGCAGATAGGAGTCAGGAGGGCTCCACCCTGGCAGACAGGAGGGTCTCTGCTGTGGAGTCAGGTGGGCTTCACCTAGTAGTGGTGGGAGCCAGAATAGCTGTGTGCTAAAGGTTTGCTGTGTGCAAAAACAACCTTGTGGAAGGAGTCTGTAGGAGACAGATAAAGCTGTGTAGCTGTGTAGCTGAAAGAGCCAGAAGGCTGAATTGGTTTGATGTTGGATACCCCTGTGTGGGAAGCATTTGTGTTTCTGGAACTTTTTCTTTTAAATAAAATTGGGCAACAAGGCCCTGAAAGAAGTGAGTTGCTGTGTGCTTTAACAAGAAAAGCTCTACCATTCTGAAGCGAGTTCCCACACAGGTCACAAAGTTTATTTTTTTTTTTCTGAGCCCTTTTGTAATCCATTACAGCTAGATTTCACAAAGCTCCTTGCATGTGGGGTGGGTAAATCTGCTTCCTGAAAGCTTGTCCTGTGTACCTTTCTCTCACTTTACTTGGAGTACCACCCAGCAGACACAAATGTTCAAGCCAAGTGTGAATCTGATTGGTGACTGTAAGCTACTTCTTACATTTTTTATATTAAAAAAATGGAGGGTTGGGTACTGAGCTTTGCACTGCAGGACATTCGGTGTCTGTAATTTTCTGAGATGAACAGTGGATGAGACTACTAATGGGCTTTGCAGGAAAAAGTAGTTGACCTGTACAAGGGAGGACGGTGTGATGGAATTATGCTCTTGGGTCTCCTATTAGTTGAAGCAGCCAGGTCACTCAAGGACTGCAGTGTCCTGCCTACCTGGTGGAACAGCAGCCCCCTATTCTGTGCTACTGGCAACGAAGAAGCCTCTTGAGTCAGAAAGTTTCCCTTTTGATGTTGAACTGTGTAATAGTGGATATATATATGGCATGGGTTATTGCCTCTCCTATACTCAAATTTTCTAGGAAGCTCTTGCAGGATTGTAAAGCTGGCAGTTTCCTTCATCCACATGAGTTGGATGGAGAAATTCCCCCCTCCAAGGGCTTGTATTCTGACTGTGAGCCTCTCCACTGTTAGAATACACTGGTAACTGACTGTAGCAGCTGATTGACAAAAGTCCAATTCTGTCAAACATGAACAGCCACATGTCTATCAAAATTCAGTAATTCCCTTCTGAACTGGCCCAATTTCAATCCATCTATGGCCAGCTTTATGTTTAGGAGAACCTGCTGGAAAAGACCGTTGAAACTATTACATATCTCAGGCACTAGGGTGAGCCTGGCTCTAACAACCCGTATTTGGTGTAGCCTTTTCTACAAACCTGCTTTCATCAATTGTTTCAACTCAATCACCAAGGGTATCATTATTTAAGTGTACCTAGATCAGCATGAACACTAAATGAAGTCCTAAACATTCCCGCCCCTGCTAAAGTTGTATGTATATTTCCTTTTGGGTTATTCAGTGTGTTAGATCACAAAATAATTAGAAATGATTTTAGTCAGATTTGTAAGTGGTTTAGGCCCAATCAGTACCTCTCCAGCAGAACCTAGGGCGTACAGAGGAACCTTGGGTTAGGAGCAGCATACGCTTGGGTTAGGTAGACCAGATTCTCAACCCCCTCCTTGCTTTAGCTGGCATGTACTGTATGCTGCTTCTACTGCTTGTCTCCCATATCTCTTTATTAGTCATGGCTGACTTTGTACAGGCTTTTGATGAGTATAACTAAGCACGTCTTGAACTCGCCCTCTCCCTATTTTGCTGGCATGACGTATGAAACTAAATGAACTATTTTCCTTTTTTAGCTTCTTTCCATGCTTACTGACCATGTTAAGCTGGAGGGTTTTCTTTGCGGCGCTGGGTTATGACACAACACTGCTTTCTGCATACACTAAAATTATGTGCGCAGAACTGAGTCATATCCCACAGCAATCTGAATAAGCATATGAATGAGTATAGAAAAGTAATAGAACACAGTTTAAGAGCAAATCCAAGCAAATATATACTAAAAAAAACAATTTTCGGATTATCTGCGTACTACTTCAAAATTGTGTGTTCAACTGATATAATCACCTATTATACTAAGCTGCAGGACTGAAGATTGTGAACAATGTTTTTGCATTTTTTGTAATAGGCACATTAGTCATAAGTGTGTAAAACATTACAAATCTGCACATTTGTGTCACTTTTTTATTTTGTTGCTTGGATGGCAATGCCCTTTAACCTCCCATTAACAAAACGATACCACATAAAAAGTGAAAATGATATGTACAAGCCAACAAGTTAAAGGTGAAAAAAATCTATTACGCAGGAAGAATTCTCAAAGGCATCACAAAATCTATAGACTGAAGGAACTGCTATTACCATGGCAACCAACAGCATGACAGGATGCTAAGTAGAGAGGAATGTTGGAAAGGTGTGTTTATTCCCACTCTAGGAGGTCATCCTACACAGCTTATAAAATGGTCATCACTTATTTGTAGCAAGGCTGTGGACACTTCAAGCCATTCTCAGTTAATTAGGTATAAATGTTGATAGCTTCCAACAATGCTTTCGACTTACAATAGAAATAAAGAGGAAAGCTCTTGAACTTGGTTTTAGCAAAACACATCTAGATAATTATTACTGTGCATTAGGTGGCATAAGATAAGGCTTTGCCTACATCAAAAGAATTGGATGAATATAAAATATAGAGTCAATTTAAACAGTGGTGTGCTATAGTGCCGAAGCTTACAAATGGCCCATCACATATGGGGTTAGTACAGTCTTACTTTCATAGCCCCTGTGGCATCTACAGTATATTCATAAAAAGGCAAGGGTTATGGAATCTTGAGTTTGCTTAGTGAACATGCTGCCTGTGAGGAGTAAGGTTTGCTAAGAGTTGGTGCTCTTGATGGGAGCAGTTCTTCAGGGGAAGGGGGAACCGTGCCAAACCCTGGCAACAGTGTGTCTGTGAAAGTAGAGGTCTGACTCTCCATCAACTACATATTTTCAGAAAAGGAAAGGAAAAAAACCAGCATGCGTGTTACTATATTTATTTATTTATTTCAGGTACTTGTATAGCGCCATCAATTTACACAGTGCTTTACATATATATTGTACATTCACATCAGTCCCTAACCCTCAAGGGGTGTACAATCTAAGGTCCCTAACTCACATTCATACATACACATACTATGGACAATTTAGACAGGAGCCAGTTAACCTACCTGCATGTCTTTGGAGTGTGGGAGGAAACCAGAGTACCCGGAGGAAACCCACGCAGGCAC